CCCCGCATACCGGGGGGCTTTACCCTCCCTCACCGTTCTCGGAAAGGGGGCCTCGGTCGGAGCCTCGAGCGCCCATGCCGCTCTCGGCAGTTTTAGGGTTTAGGGCTCAGGGAGTTTGGGGTTTAGGGTCAACCCGAGCCTCCTGAGCCCGATGTGAGACAGCTACGCCAAAAGTTCTCTTTGAATGAGGCAAGGCACTGGAGCCCAGTCCTGGGGAATCGGATGACTTCCGTCGGCTCATGGGAACGAACCTGAGATGACCCAGCTCTCGGGTTGAAATAGGCCTGACGCTTTTATGTTAAAGTTTCTGGGGTTTAGGGTTTAGGAGTGGAGGTTGTTGGCTTTGTTGGTTCGTTGGGCTTTCTGGTGCTGCCGTCTCGGCTGACAGTTGATTGAGGTTCATGGTTTGGGGCAGGGGATAAACCCAAGCGGCCACAGAAGTTCTGTGTTGAAGTTCCCGAAGAGGCAAAGCGAGCCGCAACCCCCACGAATAGTACCCAAGGCTTGTAAACCGGAAACCCTTCTGCAGCCCGTATAAACCCTAAACCGGAAACCCTGAACCCCCAACCTGCACTCTGAACTCTCAATCCTGAAATCGAAATCCGAGACCCTCACGATATCAGTCCTGAGCACTCTAAGGTGGTCGGATTGCGATATCTCAGGTGAAAAAGCTTGAGATCACCCCCCCCGTGCCGCACATCAGCACTAGACTTCCTCCTGTGCCCTGTGGAACCCACCTCTCCCCTAGTGCATGACCCGGAAGAGATGAGAGGCTATGTCTGCCAACATTTTCAGAGTGGCGGGTTCCAGGCAAAACCTTAAGCCACCAAAGCCGATTGCCTTTGCAGGGTCCCTATAAGCTCAATACTCGAGTTCAGACTAAAGACCTACAAAACAGTACCCTAAACCCTAAACCCGAAACCCAGTAGGTTATGGTAGTTTATGTAGGGTAAGCCTTCATGCAATGCCCGGGAGCTCCTTCGCCTGTGGATTGAACTCAGCGGCCTTCCCAAAGGACTTTAGGTTGAATGCGAGCACTCTCCCATTTCTGGACCCCATCGCTAGGGTTTAGGGTTTATAGGGTTTAGGGTTTATAGGGTTTATAGGGTTTAGGGTTTAGTAATTCCTGGGAGGAGCTATGGAGTTATGCTGTACTTCCTCCAGTGGTTTATGTCTCACTTTGGGGAGGATCCAGGCGCATTTCTGAAAGTAGACCATGCCCGCACGCTCCCATTCTGTCAACTTCTACGTAACAGGGTGGAACTTGAAGGTTGTGGGATTATAAGTAGGGCAACTATAATTCTACCCATATTCGGGGACTTATGACTCCACTTGAGCTATATACCCAGAAACCCCCAAGTAGGACCTTCCCAAAAGCGGGGCACGATCCTCTGTAGTACTTTCACAGGCCAAAAAGCCCTAGTCCTATAGATGCTAAACTCCCCAAACAATCTTGCGCTTGAAAGCCCCAATGTTAATCCTCCGTGATCTGTCCCTTGTCAGGCCTGATGCTCCACGACCCAAGCCCCCCAACCCCCAAAAACTATGACTTAACAACGTAAGCCAACTGACACCTTAGAAGCCTAAACGGGCCTAAACCCCAAAATGACTCCCGAAACCGCCTAAACCTCAACCCGAAATCAACCCTGCATCTAGATCCTAAACTCCTAATAAACCCTAAACCACTCATGAAAGAGCCAACCCCCCGTCCCGGTCCCCGCACCAGGCAACCAAGAACCGGCCTGGGGGTTGAAATTCCAGGGCGCCGAGTTGTTTCCTGCAGCCACCAAAGGTGTAGGGCTTGGGATTGTAGGGCAAGAGCTCTGAAATTAAGGAATAGACCGAACTACACCGGGGATCCTTGTTATACTTTACATACGTACCCTGTAACTGAGAAGTTTTTACCTGGAATTGTAAAGGGTTCTTATCATGAGCTAGGGTATAATCCTTATGGAGCTTGATGGGACAAGCAGGAGGCAGCCAATTTTGTTTGACGAAAGCGATTCTGACAACCAGAAGAGATCATGATAAGGTCTAAGTTTAGCGTTTAAAGGAGCTGCCTGGACCTCGAACATGCCACCTTGCTGAGGACTTTTGCAAAGGAAATTCATAATAGGGAACCCGAAAAAAGGAAGGCTTTGTAGGGCCCAGGATAGGGTTCGGGGTTTAGGTCATCCCTAAACCCTAAACCCGTTAGATCTGTTGGATGGGAGCCCAGATTCCGAAAAGGACTCTCGACAAATTGCAGACTGCCCTCTGACAGCTGCGTGAGGTCATGCATAGCATACTCCCAGGATCGTGGGACTTTGTAACTAGGTTATATTATATAGGTAAGGTAAGGTAACTGTAGTTATACAGACGTATCACACCAATCAAAGTATGTATAACTTTACTTACAAAGTCCCATGATCCCAAGCAGTGGTGCACATTCCTTACGAACCCGGTATCCTGGATGGAGGAGGTGGGGCTTCTCAAGGGTGATATAAGCTCAAAACCTGCGACAGCGGCACTCCATGATTTCTAAACATGAAACATAGGCCTTCCATGCCACCCATCTCGTTCATGTCCACGGCGACCCACTGTCCATATTCATAGTCATAGTCTTCACCGCCTGGAATCTGGAAGGCAAGAGCCCAGTTCCTAGAGGAAACCCACATCCGATCTGCGAATCAAAAAATTTCGGAACGGACATAGTGCAGCATACACATAAAGACAGAATCGAAATCAATCTTAATACGAACATTGCTGTTGGTATTGCATGTCCCTCTCTCTCTCGCGTGCTCAGGGCATGTCCCTAAACCCTAAAACCTAATTTTTTTTGCTACCAGGCTTGAGGACTAGCCAGATCCGCTCGATCTCTATCATCATGAAACCCTAAACCCTGAACGACACATTCGCAGAGCTCCCCGACCGCACATGTCTTGCTCTGCGACCTTTAGGAATTTTTTGACCCTCGCAACTCGCACAAGGCAGGCAAGGCTTCACAGCACACCCTTTAGGATTCTCAGGTTTAGGATTTAAGGCTTAGGTTTTAGGATCTAGGATAGCTGCTCTTGAGATGCTCGATGCTCGACCCTGGTACTTCGGAATTCTGCAGAAAGAAACTGATCCAGAAACGTGGCTAAACAGATGCGAAACAACAGGATCCAGCCTCAAAATCCTACTGTGAGCGAAAGGTTTCCTGATAACAAACATTTTTTTGCGCTGATAGAACAGGCATATCCATGAAGCCGCTCCTCTAGAACCACAAAGGTCCTATCCTTCCAGAGCCCTACATGGAACCCGCAAAAAAACCCTTACATCAGGCCTTGCATGCCCCAGTCGTTCCAAGCTGGCGGTGCATCGAAGTACACCGGACCATCCGGCACGGGGCGTTCCCAGTTGCTGACCTAGCGGCAGAACATCTGGTGCTAGGATTCGGGGGGTAAGGGCCTTTGGCATTTATGCTTTGGGGAAATATGGTTTGGGGTGTGCGGTTTAGGGCTTTGGGAGATATGGCTTCTCGGGTTTATAGAAGTTGGGGATTGCGGCGTAGAGTACATAAGTCGCATATGTATCCTTCGTATGGAATCAGACCGGAAAGAAAAGCACACAAACTCAGTGTTCTCAGCAAAAGCCAAGGCAGGCCGGGACCGATGCTTGACTGTGATCGGAAACAAAACACGGCTACCATGATTATCTGCTACATGGACATATAAACGCCTAACCCTAAACACATATGCGTATGTATGTGTGTATATATATATATGCGTACATACATACATACATACATACATACATACATACAGACAGACAGACAGACAGACAGACAGACATATACGTTGCATATGTATATGTATATATCGGATATCGGCGTGTGTGCACAACATTATCTACCGGAAGCTCGGCGAAGCATGCAGGACACTTTAGGCTAAACCGTCGTGGTTCGAGCCATATTTGCAAACAATGTCGGTGTGTAGGGTTTAGGGTTTAGGCACAGAACTCCCTTGAAGGAGAGGCACGATAGCTCTCAGGAGCCACACAAACAAACAAACAAACATCCAGAGCTCGTATGCAGGCGGGGGGCCCTACCATCTTCTGCAGCCCAAGTGAGCGACTCCATGTTGCTCTCCTCCTCTACTAGAGAGCCATTTCCTGGATTGGCAAAGGTGCTTTGTAGAACATAACTACATAGTATCAAATCAGACTTTGTGCTCAACGAGTAGCACGAGCGGAACTACTGGCAAAAAGATGCCCTCTCCTCTCGCACCCTCAAACGAAGGACAGGTTAACACTCGAAGCCTAGATATGAGCATGCAGAGGATTTTCTTGCACATTCTGCGGCTGGGCTCGGCTAGGTTTGACACGTGGCTGGGACACTGGCCACTCAACCTGCCATATATTCAAATTCGCTTAAGTACAACCACTGAAGCTTGACACTCGCATAAAGCCCCTCCCACAAGCGCTTTTTCACTCCGCCATTGCATGCTGGTACTTCGCAACATGCATTCGGCAAGTCGAAGGCTCTTCTGCTTCATCAGATGGTGCCACCGTAAAATCTCGCAGACCCGCTGGCGCACATGAAAGTCTCTGACAGGGTTCTGAAGTTCGTGCTGGTAATCACCAATACATTTCACAGGTTGCTGTATGTGCATTACACTAGGAAACATGTACACTAGCGCAGGCGCATTCAGTCGCCTCAGGATACACTTTCTTCCAGAGCAACTTCGCCCGCGAATGGATGCAGAATGGAACGCCTTCGGCGCGTATACAAAAGTCTGAGCCTTAAGAACGAGAGCTGGTTCGGATCTGAGACCATGCAAACTGAGGCAATTGACGAAACTTCTACGCAGGAAACCCTGCTCATCTGCTGCCTGCTCAGATATCACCTCTAGATACCCCGAGTCCAGTCCAGGGGCAAGTGCATTTGCAGGGGAGGCGGAGTTGGAGGAGCAGGAAGATCAGCGCAATCCGAAGTCGAAGCAATTCCGGCAGCTGGGCCGTTGGTCAGAGCAGCGACCATGTCGGAGATGTCGGCTGTGCATAGAGCCTGTGCAGTTTCGAATCCGTTTTGGTTCGATCAACTCTTGCCATCGACATCCTGCTCTTAAAACACCTTTAGGCCGGGATCTGTCCCAGATAGTGGCTGAGTTGAGGACGGAATGCAAAGATCAGATGGGGATCGCACTACGAGGATAGTACAGAAGAAGAACAGGTCCTGTTTGTTGGAGGGTCTCTGTTTGCAGGATGCAGCTGCCCCTAATTGTACAGCGAAAAAGATCTGCTGGCGAGGACCTATATATGAGTATGTATATACACACACACGTATATATACATATATAGAAATGCATGCACTGTATATATATATATATACATAATATATATATATATATATATGACAAGAATTAAAGTGTAGTTAAATGAATACGTGTGTATATATATATATATACATACATACATACAACTCTTGGTTTGGGGCTTCAGGTAATAATCGGGGGATCTTCGGGTTCTGGCACAGGTTTCAGGATTGATTGAGGTTCCCGGAGAATTCAAAACATCTTAATTAAGGAATGTGGGGTTAAGGGCTTGGGGTCTAGGTATCTCAAAATACGATAGGATCCCAAAAAGAATCTAATGTATATTTCAAAAATCAAACGCCCCGTGCCTAGACCCTTCAATGTAATACCTCTTTTGGACGGCCTGTTCTTTTGGTTAGGATCCTATAATAAGAAACCACGGGTAACCAAAACATGTTCTACACTCAAGGTGGAGGTAAACTATGATAGAATCCCTAAAATGATTTAAAGACTATTTCTTGATAGAGGGTTTTGGCAACCCTAAACCCTAAACCCTAAGCCCTAAACCCGGTTTTGGACTTATGGAATCTCTTCTCTGGGTTGCTTGGTTCAGGACGGAGGCTGCTGCCGCGGACAGGCGGGGTCCATCCTACAAAGCCCTAAGCTCACCAACACCATGATTTCGGGTTTTAGGGTTTAGGGCTTTAGGATTTTAGGGATTTAGATAAGAACATCCAGACTATCATCCAAAAACCAGAACCCTATGCACTAAGTATTTACAGGCCTCAGCTGCGTCTCATACTTTCCCATTCGACTCAGCCGACCTCGGCCCCCCGACCTCCCTGCTTCCGCTTCTCGCAAGTTTCGAGACACCCCCAGAAACTGCCCACCGGTAGCTCACATGTTTGCTCGAGATCGAATACAATTCGGAAGGCGCCTTCTGGTCGGCACCCACCTGGCAGTCCGAGACCGCCAGGGCCGTGAACTGCGAGATCCAAGCGAAGGACGAGATGATGTTCATGATGTTGATCGCGCAGGCCTTTGGTTCCGGACAGGCACTCGCCGCGCTGCGGATCTGAAGGATAGCACGGATGATGTAGGAAGCCGCATTCGTGACATCGGCGACGCACTGGGCGATGTCGAAGCCACGGTTGCGCTGTTGGTCCTTGTGGCCCTTGATCTTTAAGGCCTTCTCAACCGCAGGCGAGGCTCCCGCTGGGACAAATTGCTTCCAGGGAGGGGAAATCGTCTCCGCTCGAGTTAGGATCTGCAGGGCGTTCTTGCCGAAGTTGCAGTCTGCCCTCGCTGCGGCACCCACGGTAGCAATCTCACCGAAGTTGGCCATCAATGCGGTGAAATCACCGGCACAGAGGGCGCCTGAGTTCACAGCCTGGCCGCAAGCGTTGGCCGCGAAAGAAAGGTAAGATGCGATCCAGCTGATAGAAGTGATGAACCCAGCCACGCTGGCTGCACAGCCCACAGGTGAATTGTTGGGGCACTCCAAGCCATCGTAGTCGATCGATTTGTAGAGGAAGACAATGGCCTGGTCGAGGTAGGCAGCAGCCTGGACGACGTCAATCACGCATTCCGTGCGAATCCAGGGCACTTCCTCCGGCTGCGAGTCGTAGAACAAGTCCTGCAAGTTGCGCAGTGGTTTGTCGTGCCGAAGGCTTTGAGCCTTGCGGATCACCTTGTCAATGCCCGGAATGTCCTCCCAGTGGGACACCTCAGTATCGAAGATGATGTTCTTCGGGGAGGAGATACCCACAGTTTCCGGAGGCGCCTTTGCTACCACGCTGGCGACGAGGAGAAGAGCCGCAGCCGCACCAGCGAAGTACCAACGGGAGCGCGACTTGCGCGGCGTCTCGATCCGCAAGAAGCCCTCGGTCTCCATTTCCGAGCCGGCTCATCTATAGACCATGCTTCGATGTAGTACAGGTATGTCGAGGGTACTGGGCTGATAGGGGTTCGTGATAAGCCTTGGCAAGGGGGTCTGCGGCATTGGGGGGTCCCGGCATGGGATGGAGCTTCGGAACGAAATTCTGCGGTACCAGCGGCTTCAACCGTGACGTGCGATTTGCGCTGTCGGTTGGCAAGCTTCAGGACTTCTGAGAAACGGCAAGAATTGTCAGTGCAACTGGAATAGGGTTGTCCGGTCCCACGCAAGCACTTTTCGCTCTGCCGTTGCATGCTGATGCTTCGCAACATGCATACGACAAGTCAAAGCCTCCTCACGGCTCAACCATAGGATGTCAGAGGACAATTTATACACATATGAGGGTCGCTGGCATTCTTGTCTACAGCCGCACATTGTCTCAAAACAAGTAAGGGTGCAGGAAATGCTGTTACAGGGGGACACACATGCTAACACGTGCACTCATTGCACTCCTGATGCCACATGTTGCCACTGGATACGATTTCCTCCAGAGCAACTTCGCCCTCGATCGAACGGTGCACCCTCACCCCTTCTCGAGCCCTTATAGAACCCCCAAGGAGCCGTTACTAGATTACTTGTTGACAGCACCTGGGGTCGGAAAGGTGGAGAGTGCACTTTCCGATGCATTGGTTGTGCAACGGTTTGGTGGAGCCCCACGTCCGGAGGTTGGGTTCGAGCTTACGGGTTTAAGGTTTTGCTGCCTCGGGTTTAGGGTCTCGAATCTTAAACCCTGCAGTACAGCTGACCTTCGGTCAGTTCTTCCAAACCGAAGCACTTGACAAAACCGTTGCACGAAGGAAGGGGCTCCTGGATATCTGGTGTCCAGGCAATATGCCTTCTTGTTTTTTTACACCCAGTCCAGCGGCAAGCCTAAAGGGTCCTAAAGTATCTCTTATGGTGCTTGGCCCATACAGTGATAGCAGCTCTTATCGGAACCCTTTTGTTGTCATAGTAGAAACCCTAGTGACATGACATCCCCCCAGCATCCCTGCTTTCTATGGCCTAGGTGTGCGGGAGCACAAGACCCATTTCGAAGAAATATCTGCAACGAGCCCTAAACCTAAACCCTAAACCCTAAACCCTAAGCCCTAAGCCCTATAAA